TTTGTTTATTGGATCTAGATCTTTCATTTCAAACTCCTTTGATAATTATTCCTTCAGAACATATTTTTTATATATGACCCTACAACCAGCATGTCTTCAACACAAAAAAAAATATTATTATTATTAAAATATTAAAAAATAGTGATCTTGGTGGTACTTCTTATATATATTATCTGACATAAACATATCAAATCTCCGGTACCACTATCTTAGTGCATACTTCAGTCCGTATAAATTCCTCCTAAGCCTATACACTAGATCTTCATTTTCTATGACCATATATCTATGAGATTGCACCATATACAACTCTTCATTGAGGTCGACATGAAAAAAAGTTATATTTACATCCATCTGCTCTAGATGTAAATCCTCTACTACTACCATGCTCAATAGAACTCTAATTGTTGTCATCTTTACCAACGAAAAGAAAATTTTAGTGAAGTCCACTCCTTCCTTCTGCTAAAAACCTTTAACTACATGGCTAGCCTTATAACACTTGCTACCATTAAGTTCTTCTTTCAGCCTATAAACCCATTTGTTCTGTAGTGCTCTCTTACCATTTGGTAGCTTTATCAACTTCTAAGTCTGATTCAATTCAAGTGAATGTATCTGATCATCCATGGCTTGCTACTACTTCTTTAAATTATTAACTTGAATGAACTCACCATAACACTCTCATTCACCACTATATGTCAGCAATATATAGTACAAGGAAGGAGAATACATTTGTACTGGTCTTGTGATTCTACTAGATCTCTTAACTTCAGCAGCAAGTATTTGATATACTCTTTATGCTTCATTAGCTTTTCCTTCTTGATCATCATCATCCTCTATCTCAAAATTTTTGAAAGAATTTTTAGGAGTCTCATTTCTATCTTTATATATTTCACTTTAATTGAATTTTACATCATTGTTATTGATAAACTTCTGATTTTGATAATCCCACAATTTATAGCCAAAATTTATTTGAACCATATCCAATAAAATATAATTAATAGATTTTGGATCAAGCTTACTCCTAAATCATGTAATAATATAAACATAGGATGAACAACCAAAAAATTGAGGTGAGATAAACTACCTCATTTCCACTCCATGCATCCTTAGGTAACCCCTTATTCACAGAAATTGAAGAACCACAGTTGATCAGATAAATTGCAGCATCCATTACCATTACCAAGAACTGTTTGGGTAGACTAGCATGTAATATCTGCTCTTGGCGCACTCAATGATAATTTTATTCATGTACTTTGCAACAACATTCTATTGTGGTATTCTTGGAATAGTGAAATCATTCATGACTCTATTCAAAGCACATACTCCTTGAACTTATCACGATACTCACCATAATTATCTGATATGAGACACATAAGATTCAAACCTATCTCAATCTCAACCATTATCTTCCACTTCTTGAAAACTCCAAACACATATGACTTGTATTTTAAGAGGTAAACCTGTACCTTTTTGCTTTGATTTTTAATAAATGTTACAAAATATAATAATCCTCATATAAAAAGAACTATAACAGGACCCCACATATAGTGATGTACTAACTCTAACTTTTTTTACTTACCTTTGAACTAGTATTTGAAAAACTCACCTTATGTTGCTTATCATATATACAGTGTTCTAAAAAATTTAAATAAATAGATTTTAAACCATGAAGCTTTCCTCTTGTAAGAAATGAATCAGGGGTGGGTCCAGCTCCTTTTTTCAGAGTGGACAATATTTTAATTAATTAAATAATAATAACAACAACAACAATAATAATAATAATAATAATAATAATAATAATAATAATAATAATAATAATAATAATAAATTATAAAAATTTGATAAATTTAATAATAGTCATGACAAACAATTTTTAAGCTTTAATTCTCTCAAGATTTACTAAAACATGTTTAACAGTATACTAGATAAAGGAAAAAAAATGAGAGTTTCAATAATCGTTCCATTTCTCATAATCCAATAAAGGATTACACATCACAAAAACCCATAAAGAATTACAGCTAATCTTTCCTAAAGCATGAGCAATTTGGCAATGAATTAAGACTTTGAAAACTTATAAAATAGAACTATATACAAATGATAACATAATCAGAAAAAAAAAATCATTTTTCATTTCTTACATAAATCAAAAGAGTTCCAAATGATTTCTCTAACTCTCCACTTCTACCCCTCCAGTTTTCCAAAGGAAATTTTCGCCAAAAATAAAATGCTATGGAAAAGGAAGAACAAGCAAGATCCCCAAAATGTAGTGACTTAGTCCTCATCAACCATAAAACAAGTTTAAAACAATATTAAAAAATCATCGTAGCTAGAAAAGGAAGAACAAGAATGAATGCAGTACACACCGTCCCTTTCATTTTCATTTTGACATCTTCACATTTTAATTCATATGGATGTTAAAAGTTTTGAGATTAAAATGCTCTAAAAACTAATTGAAACTCATTCAACATGAAATAGGGCAACTGGGGAGTAGCATGGAGGTGCCAAAAGAACAAGATTAATCATTAGATTAAAGTTACCTTAGCGAATGACGAGCGCCTAAGACAGCAACCGCGAAGAGCTAGAGCTTGCGATTGCGAAGAGCTGGAGGTTGCGACTTGCGAGAACGCAGCGACCTCTTGAACGTCGAATGGGAAGAAGAGGGGAGGGCTACGAAGACGAAGGGGGCGACTGAACGTGGAAATTTGATTGCCGAATGCGATTTCGTGAAAGTGGCTAAAATAATAAAAGACTTGCGAGCTAGAGTCTGGCAGGCGGGATGGGTAGCACTGATAAAGTTAGGGCAAAAAAGCTTTTTGATGGGGCTCAAAATACAAAAATTATCTCTGACTATAGCATGGGTCCGCCCATGAAGTGAATGTATATCTTTCTTACTCATAAGACCAAGTATTCTATGCCAAAGTCCTCAATCAACATCTGAATATGTTACTCCAATAGAATTTGACCTTCTACTGATAACATACAGGGTGCCTTCAATATTGCTATGAGCTATAACCATAGTCCCTTTTGTCATTTTCCACGAATCTTCTGTGAATGATATCACATGGCTTGAGTTTGCAATATGATTCACATAAATTAAACTCTTCTTCAAATATGGAACATGCCTAATATTTTTTAGTCTCCAAACTGACCCATTCAGTATTATGATATCAACATCTCACTGTCCAATAATGTTGCAGGCGATGTTGTCTCCTATAATACTTTACCAAAATCATATTGAGTATAGTTCTTAAATGTCTCATTGTTAGGACTTGCATGAAAAGAAGTACTTGAATCTATCACCCATAATTAAGAATTGTAGAGAGATAAAATTAGAGAATATGACAAAAACTCTTTTGTAGATACATTTGCATAATCATTTTTGTCTTGACCTCCACCACTGCCCTTCTTTGCAACTGTACAATTCTTCTTCAAGTGGCCCTTCTTTCCATAGCTCCAGCACACAATTTTCCCTCTACCAGAAGCAAACTTTCCTCTCTTGAATTTAGATATCCTTTTACTTGGATTTATCTCTAAACCCTTCCTCTTGCTTCAACATTCAAAGAAGAATTTGAAGATTCACTGTGCGCCCTCCTACGAACCTCTTCATTAAGCACTAACTCCACAATGTCCTCAAAGTTTAGGTTGGAACTTCTTGAAGAGTTACTCACATCAATAACATGCTCATTCTATCTTTCTGGCAATGAAGACAACAATAGTAATGTCCTTACCTCATTATCAAAATTGATGCCAACTGAACATATTTGACTCATTACTGTGGTTAGGTTATTCAATTGTTCTACTATTGGGATGTTGTCCAACATCTTCATATTGAATAACTTCTTCATTAAGAACACTTTGTTTGAGGTGGACGACTTCTCATACATCTTAGTCAATGCAGCCATGAGATTGACTGTAGTTTTCTCATTTACAATGTTGAATGCAACATATGAGGAAAGTGAAAGTTGAATAAAACCTAGTGCATTCCAGTCAAGAACCTCCCATTCCTCCATAATCATAGAATCAGACTTCTTGGTGATTCCTTTCAATGATAAATATAACTTCTTCTGATACAATAAATCTTTAATTTACATCCTCCAGAATGCAAAGTTTGAACCTTTGAACTTCTCAATCTTGTACCTTACCTTTTCTGTTTTTACTCCCACTCAATCTGAACAACCACGTTCTAATGCCAGTTGTTGGGGATGAAAATAAAACATCACAGAGAAATAAATATGAAAGTAAAAGCAGCAAAAAGTAAAAGGAGCCAAGATTTAGCATGAAAAAATTCAAACAAGGAAAAAAACCATAAAGTCACACCACACCAATAAATCCACTATGAAAATTGGGATAAATAAGTAAAAATCTCTTCTCTCTCACTCTCTCATTGCTTCTCTTTTCACATACACCACTCACTACCTACAATATAAGAGAAAGTCAAGTTAATAACTCCAAGGGATACAACCCTTGAGAAAAACGAGAAAGATAAATGTTCAATCCGCCTCGAAGTGCCGTGGTGCTAGTTTGGAGAGGTCCGAGGCAACAACATAGTCCGATTGATCGACACAATCAAATTCCACACAAACTAATAGTTGTTATTATATTTGTAGATGTATTCTTTTTTATTATCATTTATCAAATATTTAAAAATTTTATCATCAATGAAAGTACGAAATTCTTTATGAACATAAAGTTAAATTCTTAAATATTGAGTCATTTTTCGGTGTCACGGATGGAATTTCATTAAGAAACTTAAAAAATTAAGCGTTCTTGTGAGGAGCAATCCTTAGACGAGTGACCTCCTTAAAAGATACGCAAACGTGAACGAGATAAAATTATAAGGTCATTATGTCAAAGCATATAATATCTTGATAGCTAAAAATTTGAACTATTACATAAACATAATCATTGCCCTCAAATTTTCAAAAAAAATGAAATATTTAGGAATTTTATAATTTATACATACATCTCTACTTAAATAAAATTAGTACAAAGACGAATCTAAATGAACTGATACTATCAATTAGCTCCAAAAAAAACACAATGGGGAGACTAGTCAGTCGTCTTCCACGCATGAGCAAGGATACTAGCTGACGATGCTGGTCACAGGTTCAGGGAAAGCGGACGACTTTGAAGTTCAGCGGAACTTCTGAGAAGCTGCGCGTACTCATTTTTCACCTCGCTCGTGCTTTCTCCCTCTACCATCTCTATATTACTCAGTTCCACGAAGCATGTTGAAGGAGAAGCGGAGATTTTGAGACGAGAAAGAGGGGAACTGGGTTCGGAAGCGAGAACCTTGACCTTTTTTACTTTTAAATTGGTCAAAAGACCTCGTGTGCTTTTCATTAAGAAGTGGCAATATCAGGAGAGAGCTAGATCTTGATGAGCATTTAAAGCCCCTTTATCTACGATATTTCAAAGTACACCCTTTTGAATTCCAGGGAGAAACTACCCTCTGCCTCTAAGGTCTACCTCTTTCGTCTTTGAAGGGCACACTTGCAGTTTTATTTTTTCTGGGTTTCCCTTTTATGACTTCTATTTTGTGCATCTATAAGTAATTTGAGGGTTTGGGTTGTTTTCGTCGTGGCTTCTCCTTTTGATTCTTTGTATTTGCTCCACTCTTTCAATCATTGCTGAAGCATTCTTGATCCCTGCTGCTAATCTAGCTGGTAAAGACTAGAAATTTTTTTTTCTCCTATCGCTTCTGTTCTTTTTTGTTTTGCTGGGATTGAAGGTTAGGGTTAGGGTTTTTGTTTGCAATGCCCTCTTATGAGTATTGTTTCATTTTGAGGAATTCTGCGTAATATCTTGACCATTTGATTTGGGTTTAATTCATGAAAGAATGATCTTATCAAGAAAATTATAACATACGGATGATTATCTTCTTAAACACAGTGAAAAGCTGAGGTGAAACTGAAGCGTGAATAACATTAGGCTGTGTTCATTCTTCAATTTATTTATCATTCCTTCAATCTAAACAAAAAAATAGAAATTTCTTTTTCACTAAATTTCTCCTCAACCAAACAAATTGGACGAACACTTATTTCAATTCAATTTCCTTACAAATTTCCATTTCTATTTCCTCTATTTCAAATCTTTCAAACTAAACAGAGCCTTAGTCTGCGGATTCAATAGTAGCTTGTCGGGCTGGGATTTCATTTTTTATTTTTATTTCTTTTCTCCTATTTCTTACAATTTTCCATCCTTATATGTATTGAAGCTTTGATTCTATGAAATCTTTGGAATTTTATTTTTAAGAATTTACTGATTGATTTAGGGTGAATAAGACACATCAGTTTAGTGTTTTTATGCTTCATTTCAGAGGCATCATAAATTTGAAGGATTACTTTGTTGTTTTGCGTCATTGAATATTGTCCTCACTACAGTTTAAATTTCTTCCAGGATAAACCTTCTGTTAAAGAACAGAGCTCAAGCTTTGTTTCTGGTTAATGGGTTTATCCTCTTCTTTACTTTCATGGGCATGGCTTGAATCCGTGAGAAGGATCGTTGGTCTTAAGAAGGTTGAAGCTGCTCTGGTTAAGTCCCTAAGTTTCAGCGAGAAAGACATTAAGACGACATTGAGATCACTGAGCTTTAAAAAAAATAGTTCACTGGCAAAGATGGCGCTTGGCACCTTGATCATAGAGAGGTCATTAAGTTTCAAAAAATGGGAGCTTTCAGAAGAAATAAAACCTCAAAACACTTTTTCATTACAGACCCAATTGACTGATACTGTTCTACAAGAGATCACTGCCTCTAAGGGCATCGATAATAAATCCATGCCAGAATTAAACCCTTCAAATTCTATTCCTGAATTTTGTTCCCCTCGACCACGGAGCGAGCTTGATGCAGCTGCTGTTAAGCTGCAAAAGGTTTACAAAAGTTATCGGACTCGAAGAAATCTGGCTGACTGTGCTGTGGTTGTTGAGGAGCTATGGTTAGTCTTCAATCCCTCCTCTTTCCTTTGAGTTCTAATCAATATGTTCATTATTTTATATTATTCTTAGATAAATTTGATTTATTATGGTTCATAGGTGGAAGGCTTTGGATTTTGCGTGTCTGAAGCATAGCTCAGTAACATATTTTGAGTTTGATAAACCTCAAACCGCAGTTTCACGATGGGCGAGGGCGCGCACGAGAGTTGCCAAGGTAATTTTACCATCTTTTTTCAACCGTTGATCTTTTATTTTACTAATGTATTTATGATCTGTGCAATCATTAATTCAATGCTATTGTTTTTTTAGGTTGGAAAAGGTTTGTCAAAAGATGAGAAGGCTCAAAAACTGGCACTTAGGCACTGGCTTGAGGCTGTAAGTAACAAATTTATGATCTGTGCAATCATTATTTAATAACAAATTTCTATCATTGTTCTTTTATTAAGTTAGTGACATTTCTAAGATGCTTATGTTATTCTTTGTGTCTCAACCGTATAGATTGATCCGCGTCATCGATATGGACACAATCTGCATCTATATTACGATGTTTGGTTCGCCAGTGAGAGCACTGAGCCATTTTTCTACTGGTAAACATCTTATAGAGAATCCACTAGAATTTTGATCTTTTCATGGAAGCAGCAGATATCAAAATCTCTTATATTATTCTTACATTTTTTTTCCTCCTGAACCATGAAGGTTGGATGTTGGGGATGGCAGAGAAATAAATCTTGAGAAGTGCCCAAGAAGCAAGCTTCAGCAGCAATGCATCAAATATCTTGGACCAGTATGTCTTCAAACACTGAGCATTCCTCATTTATCTGTTGTGTTCTCATCATCTTTTCTCAGTTGAGATGTGCACTTCTGATATAAATCATCTTTTCTGCAGAAAGAGAGGGATGCATATGAAGTCATTGTGGAGAATGGGAAGCTTGTGTATAAACTAAGTGAAAACCTTGTAAATACTGATGAAGAGTCAAAGTGGATATTTGTTTTGAGTACATCAAGGTCACTGTATGTGGGGCAGGTATATATATTTATCTATTGCATGCAATCTATATGTTAAGAACATTTTATTTTGGGGCTTATACAAACTGTGGAAAACTGCATGTTTTATCCTAGAAATTTACATACATACCACTTTATAACATCCTATTTACATATCTAACACTCAAAACTTTAATATTACATGCATACCACCCTATATTATTTTAATATCAAATATACCACTTATATTTCTTTCCTACCACTCATATATTTCATTACTATCACTCATATTTGATATGAAAATGAACTATGGGTGATATGTATGTAATATTAAAGTTTCATGTGTTAAATATGTAAATAGAGTAATATGAAGTGGTATGTATGTAAATCTCCCTATTGTTCATTCCATGTGACTAAAATTATATTGTTCTACTTTATGAGCAGAAGATGAAAGGCAAATTTCAACACTCAAGCTTTTTAGCTGGGGCAGCTACTACAGCTGCTGGAAGACTGATTGCCAAAGAAGGAGTTCTCAAGGTGAGCAATTATACCCACATAGATTGACTGAGATCCTATCTTCTTCTTACTAAAATTCCTTTTTTTTTTGGTCCCCTATTAACTAAAACTATAATTGAATTACTCTATCCAGGCTATATGGCCATACAGTGGTCATTACCTCCCAACTGAAGAAAACTTCAAGGAGTTCCTCAGCTTCCTCCAGGACAACAATTTAGACCTTACAGATGTTAAGGTACATATTTCTTTTCATTTCTTATATTCCAATCTGCGAGCTACTATTACTGACAAATGATGTATGTTTTTACAGAGATGTTCTGTTGATGATGACGAATTCCCAGCATTCAAGGAGTCCTGTGATGAGCCAATGAGTCATAATGTAGCTGAAGTAGAAGAGGTTGTAAAGGATATCACCATTGTTGAAGCTGAGAGTTCAGAAAAGCTTCCCAAGTCTCCATTACCTGATGGAATTAGGAACCAAGATGTGGTGGAGAAAGCAACAGTGCTCGAATTCAACCGACGAATTTCGTGCAAATGGAGCACTGGAAATGGACCAAGAATTGGATGTGTCAGGGATTACCCTCCTGATCTGCAGTGCAAAGCACTTGAGCAAGTTAATCTTTCACCAAGACTCATCCCCTCACCTCTTGGTAATAAGGTTCCGATACCGTCGCCTCGACCGAGTCCGAAGGTTCGGCTGTCTCCAAGGTTGTTGAACATGGGAATGCCTTCTCCAAAGGTGTCTCTAACTCTTCCCAACTTTAAGAAGAACTGAGCTTGATGATGCTTTTTTGGATACATCACCGAAGTGCTGGGGAAGAAGATGAAGCAGGCAGAGTGCCTCATTGCTCTGCAATTTCCATTTTGTTTTTTCATAAGATTGTTTGATTGAGATTATTCTAACTATTTTGTTCATTCATGTAGATAACTAAAGACTTAAGTTTTATTCGATTATATATGTATATGTAATCTGGAAAAGAAGCTCTTTGAAGGAAAAATATGAGAGAGTACTTTTGTGGGCTATTTATATCGACCATTACTCTTCCTTGTTGAATTCTTCTGAAAGCTTTATGCCATCTCTCTGCTATGAATTATGTGGAGGCTATTGAAGTGCATATGACGATCAAATAAGCCCAGCCAAAAACATGGAGGAATGCCACTTATAAAATGTATATAGATGAAACAATAGATTAAATATTTTGAACCTAAAAGCTGAAAGTTATTTATAAAGAAAAAAAGATTTTGATCATGTGAAGAAATTTTTCTAAATAAGACTTGATACGTCATGCAAAAATTATCTTGATATGGCACGAATCTCGAGGCAAAAATCAAGTTGGAAACTTCAAAAATTAAATCCGGGAGCACATGAACTCCGATTTCAGCAAACTTACAGTCAAACTGAGCGTCTAGGAAATACGAACCCAACGACACCAAGATCAACCCAATCCGATCCCAAATGAGTCCGAATCAAGGGCTCAAAGTGCTGTTGGAAGGTTCAATCCGCAATTTGAGTTACCAAACGGTCTCCGATTTTGACGAGCTTATACTCGAATCGAGCGGCCCGACGAAACGAATCCAACGAGCCCAAGATCGCCGAATTCCGACATCATTAAGGCCTTCAAATGTCCAACGAACGGTCCACGGTCAAAGGGTTCAGCAACAACCCATAACCACCCACTCTCCCTCTCCCTCAACCCA